CACGTATTTGGTTAGCACCAGGAACTGTGCCACCTATTAAAAATATAGATTAATTGATTATGTAAAAAAAAATCAATAATCTAAATAAATTATTAAATAAAAGCATGGAAATCTAAAGATTTCCATGCTTTTATTTGATAAATACCTGTTAATGCACATACCGTATTTGCAATGATCTTGTAAAAAAGGTTGAAAATGGTGTATTTTTTCAAAAGGTATGTCAGCTTTGGCAAACAATTTAACAAAGTCGAGAACAAATTGTTCTCTACCATCATAAAGCTTACTACAGGTAGTAAGTGTACGTTGGGTAGGGGTATCTTCCTGAGGTTTTTCAAGTGCTTTCTTTTTTTTTTTTTTATGGGTGGAAGATGCCAAATGATTATCTATCACTGATTTTTTTTCATGTGAAACTGTATCTTGGCAAAATCGACAAAAGAGTTTTCCTCTATTTGCATAAAGATTATTCTTATATGTTGAGTTTTTAAAAAGCCATCCTGTGGCCATAACCATATTATTTCTAAAAAATTTTTTTTTTTTTTCGAACCACCAAAACTTTTTTTTTTTAAAAAAAAAAAAAAAAAAAAACTTCAAGGTTTTTCAGTTTTTGTTTTCAAAAGTTGAAGATTTGTCGCATTTATCAATTTCAGATATTGATTTGTTACCTTTATTAAATGATATTTGTATGTAGTACTAGTTCAATTTAGATCTACCAATCATATTTTAGCCATATGATCTAAATGCTTTTTTTTGTTCAATTATGCAAAGCATATGCGATGCGAAAAAATGGTTGATTATGCGCATAATGCCGCATCGCATAATCCTGAACACCCTACCATGACATACCTGACAAAAATTGTGATGTAAGTATGAGCGATTGATATAACTAGCGATAATTGTGATGTAAGTATGAGCGATTAGGGTGTTGTATAATAGTTTGTTTCATTGATCGTAAGTATGAGGTAATGGGTAAGGCTATTTAAGTACCGCAAAAAGGTTTTTTGTTCTTCCTCTTTTGTCTTTGCTGCTAGCTTGACGGAAGTCTAGCTTTGTAGAAGTGCCCGCCCACCCTCCAGTAGGGGTGAGAAAATGAGCTTTGACAATATAGAATAACTTTCTTCTAATTGGCCAACCACTTACAATTGTATTTATACAGTTTAAAGTACTTTTTAAAAATGTAACATTTCACAAGTAAAAAATAAAAAT